TTTATAATTTAATAAATAAAAAATTATCAAAATATTAATTAATGATCAAATTATCTTATTTTATATTAGTAACCAAAAGCATATGGATTGTTTACTTACCTTTTAATAGTTCTAATAAGAATCAAYTTCTAAATGGTTAAGAGACATCTTTGGTAAAAAAAAAAAAATTGTCTCTTATTAGTTCTAAAACCCTCTAAATGATTTTGTATCATGTGTCTCCCTTAACCATTCAGCGTTCTAACTTTATTGTAAGCAATTACCAAACAATTATATTTCAACGTTCTAATCTCTTAATAGTTTTAAAACCCTATAAATGATTTTATTTTATTTTGCATTATTCAGCGTTCTAATTTCTTTGGCAAAAATTGTTTTATAAAAATGCATTATAAAATTATTTAAAAATACATTTATTTATAAAACTATTTGAATTTTCGGGCCGAGCCAGTCCCGGTTCCACGAAACTACCAAAAACCCCAATCGGTCCCCGTTTTCGTTCCCATAACCGGTCCTTACCAGTCTCGAGCCGGACTGGTCCCGATGCCGGTCCTCCGACGGTCCCGGGCCGGGCGAAGCCAATTTGGCCATCACTAGRCTGGATCGAGCCCAAATCGGTCTCGATCCAAGATTTTGAGTCCCATTTTAACGAAATCTTGAAACCCATTGGTGACCCATTTGAGGCAACCATGGTCCATCAACGATCCACTCAAATGGTCCTACAAAATGGAGCCTACRAACATTAAATTTGTATTCTAAAAACTAACAAAAAAATCACATTATGATTCGTAGGTCATGAATTATCCTATATGTTGAATAAGATTTTTCGTTATATAATTATGTTTACTGTGGACCCTACGTAATTAAATCCATGTGGAAATTGGTCACCTGCTTGACATATTGTCGAGTTSCTGACTATAATAAAACTGAATGAAACATTAAGTAAAATACTGTTGATTTGAAATTTATTTGATGAGAAAACTGTATCAAGATAAGAAAGTGTGTACCTTCGTTACTGTTTAACGCAACAAATTGTTTTTTTCAATGTGTTAATGTAACAAAAGTTTCAAAACTTCATATTGTGCACTTATTTTGGCAGATAACTTGTTGATCTTGTAACATCTGGTGACGTGGATATCTACGTCATCAAGTGTTACAAAAGTAGCAGAWTACTGACTAAAATGAGCAGGAAAATTGAAAATATTGATTTTTTACATGTTTGAGGAAAATTTTTGTTTGTTATAATAAATATGAATTACACCTGACTTTGTTACATCTTTCCCTTATTTGACGATGCATTGCACCACCATCTGGTTGCAAAGTATGGTACGTGTACGGCTAATGATATATCCAAATTCCGAATGCATTCATCCAAACAGTTTATCTCATCCACAACAATCTTCGCATCGATTTCAAAGTGAACCCAACGGAACATCGAATCGACTGCTCAGGACATGGCATGTAGGAGTGCCAAAACTTTTAGTAATATCTAATAACAAGACGTAAATGCATTTGACAAACTTATTTCTTTTGAAATTTGCTTTTTTGATGTGTACAGCCGAGTGTAGCCAAAAAAATGTTTCTTCGTGTTAATGTATTTGGAGGCAGGTTTCATGTGGGGTCAGATTTTTTCCCGCAAATTTCTTTAACAATTCTTCATTAATTTTTTTTTAATTAAATTTGGTTTTCAGAAAATATAAGRGGGTGTTTGGTAAGAGGTATTAAGCAGCAATCAATGAGATTAAAAATAAAAGAAACTATTTGTTTTTCTGTAATATAATGGGTTCATTCYTTCAAAAGCCCAAAATTTCATTTCGGTTAAACTATTTTCATTCTCAACATTAGCCAAACAAACCCTAAATTTCTGTCAAATATTATTTTTTCTATAGATTTATATTTTTGTAAAAACAAAAACAAAAAAATAATAAAATATATATTAAAAAATAAATTTCGTCGACAGCAGGGTTCGAACCTGCGCGGGCGAAGCCCAACAGATTTCAAGTCTGTCTCCTTAACCACTCGGACATATCGACGCTTGTGACGTATGCCTTTTTGATATAATATATAGAGTAGACGAAAATAATATTAAAAATAATAATTAAATATTTTGTTAAAACTCAATGATTATCCTAATTTTATATATATATATATATATATATATATATATTTATGTTTAAATGAGATGTTTGTTATGTATTTGATTATGTTTATCTGCAGTTAGTTACACGGATTCAAACATGGAGCTTTAATAGGTTGTACTTGTACACAATTTACTTGTAAAGTTGTAATATTGAATTTTAAGTAATATGCCTAAATAAACAATAATTCATGCATACAAATGGTTTTTAAAAGTTTTTATCAAATATTTTATAATAAGATATTTTTATATACACATATTTTATATGCCTAAATAAATAGTACTCCAAGTGCATATATCATTAGGTATGGCAACGGCATGGGAATGGGGCCGGTTTTGTAATTCCCAACCCCGGTTTTTATTAACAACCCTCGGCCCCGGTCCCCCGCGGGTACAAGGATTAACATCTCGTCCCCAGTCAAACCCCTGTAAGAATATYCGTTACTTTGAGTCTAGCGGGGATCCCTGACCACAACCTCGGTTTGAGAAACAGCCCCCGGCTCCGGCCCGATTTGAGTCTATCGGGGATCCCTGGCCCCAACCCTGGTCCTGTTCTGGTCGGGTGAGTCGGGTTCCCCCASCRGGTCGGGGTAAATCACCATCCTTATATCATCAAAATAAGAACAAACCTTTTACGAGCTTCTTTGCACATTCATTATGGTGGTCCTCATGATAAGATCATTTCCGAACCCGAGTTTTTGTATCGATCAAATACGTACCAGATTATTTAATTTCACTGACTTGTCAGTTGTCTCGAACAAAATCGTGTTTTTCGTTTTTATCCTTTGCATGTTTTTAATAATGAAAATATTTTATTGATAAATATAYTAATTATATACGGCAAAATTCGTAGGTACTGATTTTTTAAACCTTTGGCCYACATAAATATTGAATTATTGAGTACCACTGAATTAATAGCTCTTGGTAAAAATATTTGGTTGTTTCATGCTATTTGGAATCTTGTTATTAACATTTAATCAATATATATATATATATATATATATATATATATATAATGCTTCAATTAAAATATAATGAAGTTTGTTTTGTTTTGTTTTTATTTTTATTTAGTGTAACAATTATT